TGAGGAGTTGCAAACTCAGACCTTATAAGTTTTCAGTGGCATTACTCAGTTAGGAAGGGAAGGCTCTTAAATCACTTAAAATAATTACTATTGGAAAACTTCATACAATAAAAAATACAAATCTGCAGAAATAGAACTGAACTCTCCACCCTGGGAAGGAAATGATCAACCATGATGTGTTAGAGTGTTGTTAAATAGTTAGTGGCATAGTGGCATGATACAGTGGAAGAAGAAACTTTACTAAATTTTTCTCATAATCCAGAGAGATGATCTGGGACAGAAGGAAGAAGGCAGGTGGCTTGGGTTTTAGCGTGTCATTCCTTTCCAGCCTCATTCTGCTGCTGTCTGAAGGCAAAATTGCTTCTTTCCATATTCCCTTCACCGTTGTTCCCACAGAAAAGAAATTGAGCTGCATGGACCAGACAGAAATCTACTCTGTAGTAGCAGTAGTGGTCCATAATGCATGCCATCACCTAACCCAGGCACTACATCTGGCTGCACCATTACCCTCCAGATGGCAACTTTTGCCTTTGGAAGGAGCTGTATTTCCATCTCCTGGACATTCCTTGGATGCAGCTAGAGTACTCATTTTCAGGGAAAAAGGATAATAGTCAGGTTATTGGAGATGGATCCACCTAAACCTCTGTGAACAGAAAAACTCATTATTCAGTGATACAGACATGGGGGTTCAGAGAAGGTTATGCAGAAGTCACCTGTGGTTGACAGGAGGGCATAGTGACACATACCAAAGAGAAATGCATTGAGACTTGGGTGGGCACCTCCTGTTATGCCAGCATCTGCTTGGCGTGGGCAGTGCAGCAGTGAATTGCAGAGGGTCACATTCTCTGAGTGCCTTTAGCAGAAGAGCAGCTGAGGTGTTGCACTGTGCCAGGAGGTGTCCCAGAAAAGTCACGTCTCTGGCTGTGGTGCGTTCAGTGCTGGCCAAACACCAGTGCACCCACTAAAATATTACTCATTTCCTGCTGTGAGACAGGATTAGGAGGGAGGCAAAGCAGGCTCAAAACTTTAAAAGGGTATAGAGAAAAGTTTATTCACAGAACTAAGATAAGAATAAGTAGCAGAATGCAACCTTTAGAACCTTTACAACCCTTCTTTCCCACTGACAATGTACAGAAACAATACAGTCAGTTTATCACCTCTAGAATACTCTTCCTTCAGTTCCCTTAGGGAGAGGAGTCCCTCTTGTTATTTTGTGGAGACTTCTCCACAACAAAACAATTCTCTCATTGCTTCTAATTTCCACGAATAGCAGCTGCCTGGGTATCTGCAATCGTGAAGTCCCTCACATCTTTCGCAGCTTTCCCACAGCTGCATTTATGGGTCATGTCAACTTATGCTATATTAAGGATGAGCTGTTCAAGAGCAAAGGGTCTCTTTATCTGTCTCTGAGATCATCTTCATCTCTGGGAACTGAGGCCTTCTTCTACTTTCCCTGGGGGTAAATGTCTTCTTCACTCTTCTCTCTCTCTCTGTTCAAATTTCTCATGGGATCACAGCTATTTCAGCGTTTGCTTGTTTCAGCATGGATGCCTTTGCTCATATCTACAATTTGAACACTTCTTTCCCCCATACATTCAATGAATTACAGGGAAAAAAAGAGTCTGATGTATCAATTATATCTTCTTCATAGCCTTACAAGAGGATTTCAGCCCAGGACTTGGGGAATCTCCTCAACCCTCCCATCTGGGACTTGACTTTTTTTTACTGACCCTCATGTCTCATGTTGTTCCTCTACGTGTCTTCACTTCGTCCTTTTCTCTCACCCAAGGGAGGATTGAAGGTCTACAAGTCTTACCTGTGCACTGAAAGAGTTGCTATCTCACCTGGGGCCTGCAGATGCCCATGTGATCCCTGCCATGGGGGGTGGCCAAAGCAGGGATGGATTTTCAGGCCCATGGGGGCTGTGTCAGGATCAGCCACATGCCCGGTCTCTGGCCCTTCTGATTCAGTTCTCTGCATGGGCCGCCTCTGGGGTTTTTTCTGGCACCCATGCTGGGAGAAGGGCCAGGATCTCGGCAGCCAGGCGAGGACTCAGCGGTCGATGGCCTTCCCTTCCCCTGCCCAGTG